ATTTTTCCGTCCGTGCATACGTGCGAGTAGAACCCAAATGAAAAAAGAAAAAAACTGAAAACAGTCTAGACTTAGGCTTGTACGCATCCACGCGATTCTATTAAGGTGCCTGGTACCAGTTTTCATCTTTTGATGCTTTGTAACTTTAAAAAGAATACAACAAAAAGACTGACCAAGGCCAGTTGAACACTTTTACAGGGTTGAATTATATAATCATTGGCTATCCAAAAATAGGTGTCATTTCGTCACCAGCAGTTTCCATTGCAACGCTTTCAAAGGATTATTCAGACGCGTTTTTTTAGCTTATGGCTCAAATAATTTGAAAACCAACTCGGTGACCCCGTGATTTTTCTTAGTGACTGCTTCGGCACTTGAAAAGGAAAATGCACAAAGATTTTAAAAAAATTCTACGGGGCGGAATATCAGAACATCCAGAAAAAGGTAATTTTCACGCATCGCAAATGTTTTTTTTTTTTTTTTTTTTTTTTTTTTTTTTCTGACGATTCCTTTCAACGTTATTATCATACTGGAACAGTAAAAAGAAGGGGTCACCGGACTTGTTTTCATGCAATAGCTTTCGTGAGTTTAGCAATTCCCACGCGCGTTCTCGCGCATTTAAAAATCTGGATTCTATAACATTGGCGTTTGCTCATAATCTGTTATAGCTACCGCTGACTATCGCGTGTGTTCGCGCGAGCACCTACGATTTGATGTTTACAGACGTTTACTGCTTAGAAAATATCATTCAATAGCCGTCAAAGACAGCCTCCCGGGCCCATCTTAAAGGACCTACTCCCAACTTCTGGCTATATTATATCATTTTCTTTGAAGTTTCACATTCTTCTTCCACCTCAGGCAGATTATCCTTCACTTGAGTTCTCCTTTTTTCGCCGTCGCAAGATTTCATATCGGTTGGATATTTCGTTTAGAAGTGAAGCAACCTTTATGTCTCCGAGAATCATCTTCTTTATCTTCGTTTCTGTCTCCTGCATACGCAGTGGCCGTTCAACACATCAAATACACGCTGTTAGGTAAACTTCTTACAAAAGTAGAAAAAAGCCTCGCGCCGCCATCTTTGTTTTGAATTTTCGTCTTTTAATCTCGCGCTTCTTTCGCACGTTTCTCTCCCGCGTGACGCAAGAGTGACCTGTTCCCCGCGCGAGGAAACTAGTACTAGCCACCTTCAGATCGTTTACATGCACGCAAACCTCCCAAAATCGAGCGAGTCACGAGTTACCGAACCAGCTCGTAAGACGCGAGTCGTTTTGACGCGCGAGTCGCTTTGGCGCGCGAATGGTGATCTGTTGTCACATCAGGGATCTTACACAGAAATAAGTGAGAAACAGCAGCCATGTAGGATTAGATATGTCTGATTGTGGGCTATACGTGTTGATGTAGAAGATGTAAAAGCGAGAACAGACGGGCTTTTAGAATGCAACTAATATCACGCTTTCAAGGCATTTGGTTATCGCTAGATCCTAAAAGCATGACATCGATTGCACAACGTCCAGTCTTTCTGCTCTTCCATCCACACATCTGTACATCATATATTTCTCCTCTTTTAACTGCACAAAGGCCCAAACATCTTTCTACACTGTTTTCCATTCTTACAGACGGGGGAAGCCGGGGGACGGGTCACAGTGGGGGGTGGGGGGGGGGTTTACAACTGAGAAAGGAAAAGAACACAACTCACCGATCTTGACCTGGATTTATCATCGGGCGCTTCGTTTTTACCACCGCCCTTTTCGCTGTTGTTGTAGTGACTGGACATCGCCACACCTGGATTGGAGCTAAGGGAGCCGTATTTACTGATCGAGCCGTAGCCTGACGACTCCGATGATGTATCTGCAAAACAAGCACAAAAAGTTTCATTATACACCACTGCTTTCCCTCCTATTCGCTTTCAACAAGCAAGTTTTTTTCCCTGACAGATACACTTTTCACCGAGGTCCTGCTGAATTAGAAATTCCCCTAACACCCCTTAAAAATTTCCCCAACATTTGTCCTGACCAAAACATCTATATGAGCTAATTCAACATTGACTAGTGGCATATCAGTTTTGTGAACTACGGTCCTTGTCTAGTAAAAGCTTGTAAAGAACTGCAAACTACTCTTCATGCATTCCTATAAAATCTGTTGGAAATATTTTGAGCCATATTACTTGCGAAAACATCACCGTTAGCATGACCGCTGGGCAAGGTAAACGTTGTAAACAGCACCCAATCTCCGCATAAAATCAAGTCGTTCATCACACACGCCGGCTCTAACTAACAGCGCAAGAACAAACTAGTATTGACAATGATGATGCAGACATTAAGGAGTACAAAAGCAAGAAAACAAAAGTGCTGAGCTGTCTATATCGGATGGAAGAAAAATACCAACGCACAAATGTAACAATCCAAGAAAAAAACAAAGATCTAAGTTTTCTTATCCCTTCTACCCCATCCATCAACCAAACAAAGCCAAGTCCAGAGAAAATTACACATTGCCGGTGACTCAACGGGCAATAAATTATGATGTGCATTTTTCTATGGAAGTTTTTAATAAGCGTACATAAACTCTTTCCCAAAACAGACTAACTGGTCAGGATTTTCCTTGGTCGACAACATATAAAATCCCCCTTCACCCTCCCTTTTCCGACAAAAATCACAATAAAAAAATTAAAGTAACCCCAAAAACTACAGAAAAATGATAATAGCATTCAAGTAAAATCAGACGAATTGCTACTAGACAGGCCGGATATAGCAAATTTTTCCCCGCTGAAACAGCAGTTACATTCCGCTTTGTTGAAATATCTAAGCTACACCATTACGCCCCTTCTGTCACAGCATGCTCAAGGTAAGTAAAGATCTCTGTTGATTACATAAGTACGCAAGTCTTAAATATGATCAGAATGCTACAATAATCACTGAAAGGTTCCCTAACACGTGAAATAGCTTTTTAAAAGTTCGGCAATGTAAACTAAAAAAAAGTACATACAACGTGAAACGCTAACTGTTGACAACCAGTTACGTGACCTCGCTAACTTCAATGAGAAGGACGCCTAAGTAGCCGTCACCAGTGGTGCAACATTGACCTATTCTGCATTATCTAGAGAAAAACTGGAAGTGCGAGATGTTGTCACGTGACTGTGTTCCGTCACTTAGAAACCTGGGAAAATGTAGTTTTAGTTCGTTTACGGACACTGTACACAGTTCTAGCTCTAACAGCAAAGCGATCAGTGAGATTTACGCACAAGGCTAGAAAGTCATTACTGAGAATACTAGAATATTACAAGAGATAAAACATCAACAATCTTCTGTCCACTCCGCCATCACTGTTGCCAAAACTGAACTAAAGAAAAATGAAAAAAACCACGAGACTTCCCAAAAGATTAGGGACCATCGAAGAAGCTGTTTAAGATGTTGTTAAACACAGAAGTTGATAGACTTGGAATTTCCATGGACATTTTGAGCAGCTGCAGAGAGGAGAGTACCTTTCTTATCACTATAATTTCGCATTTCATGTACGTCTACTTCAAGCAGTGTTTTACAACTTGAGATGCTTTCTGAGATAGAAACGAACTTCTATGATACGAACGTACAAGCACAGGTATTAAATAAAAAAAAAAAGCCTTATCACCAAGGAACTAGCAAAAATGCAAATTGAACTAGGATCAAACAAACGTAACCACGAAACTGTGACACGAATAAATCGATTGCGAGGCTTTGCATATGACCGCAAGGTTGCAAGAGAAACTATGTTCTGTTTGACGTTGTAGGGGGAAAAGCCAACTTTCAACAATCTAGGCTTTTAAATGTTTCATACCGATGTTATTTCTAAAGAACATGGGATCTTAAAATTCTCGGACATCTAATTCTACCAAAGAGGTAAATTGATGTATCTGTTTAAAAGAGGCTCACTTCCTAATTATTTCCATGGTATGTTTACTCTTGCTAGCCAGATAGATTCTTATAATACAAGAAATTCCAACTTTTTCCACATACCTCATTGTCGAACTAATTTTCGAAAATTTTCAATTCGGTTTCAAGGTCCAAAGTTTTTCAACACGCTAAGTAGGGAAATTCAATACTCTGAAAGCATCAGCTTGTTTAGAAAAAGGCTTAAAAAAACGTTCTTCTTTCTTAGTTAAATATATTCTTTGTTAAGCTACACACCTTTCCCTTTTCTTTTTTCTTTTTTTTTTTTAACTTGATCTCAATTTTCATTCAGCACCTTTAATTTGTATGGTTTATCCTATAGTTTAAGGAAGCCTATACTTTATAAGCCCCCGGCTTCTAATAGGCTTCCTTGCTGTTACCTCTTCAGTTCCTTTGATTTTGAAGTTAATTTAGTTAGAATAGTTCTTTTTATCTTTGATGTATCATAAATTTTGTATTCGGTTAATTTTTTTCTGGTAATGGCAAATAAAATGAATGAATGAATGAATGAATAGTTTTCTTTGCTTTTGTAAAAGATGGAGAAAGTATCGAACTTTGCAAACGAGACTCTTCTTCGCCCTTCTTATCAATGGGAAACAGGAGGACGTCAAGTTCAGTACAAAAGAAACTCATCGTCGCTGCACCGGAACTATTCAAAATAGCAAGCGATATCTGTCGGATATAAGTAAAAAACTGACAAGACTTTTTAATAAAATTGTTGATATTTGCGCAAAGATCTAAAATAGGTTCTTGCTTACGCAGAGTATCTTCACCTCGAAGAAAGAAGGTACGTCATTAAAAAAAAAAAAACCGCTACATTGTCATAAATTTTCCACCTCGGTGGCATCTCCTTAACCATAGCATGTTGCCTTTGCTCAGCTTATTTTAACACCATTAATAATTTACACTTTGAAGTTGAATGTTGAAAAAAATCTAGTATCCCTACTTTTAATATACAGCATGCTGTCGCAAAGATAGCTCGCATAAAGCCTACTGTAACTCTATAAATTCAAATGCGTTAACATCGTTTTCCAGAACCTTGAGTTAGCCATCAGCATGAAGATATTCATTCAAGCTATTTGGTAGCTTTATCCGAGTCATCGTTCCTGTCTTTCTTGCCCCGTCGACTCAATCGAAGTATTCCCGCCAGGAAGATCTCGCTATACCTTCTGGTTATACTTGGACTTGAAACCTCATCTGAGTTCAGTAGTAGCATCGGATAAAAGACTCTCAACAAACACAATACCAAATGTGCATGTTCTCTCGTTATTTCATAATTACCTGACAAATTCCATAATAAACTACCTAACTCAAACCAAGTAAGAAAACCAACTTGGGCAACCCACCTTTATCTCCATCCACTCCCCCATCTTTGTCTCCATCCACACCCCCCTCCCTCCTAGATCCCCCTACCTCCCTTCCCCCTTTCACACCCATCATCAAGTACCTTGTCCAAACAAAATTCCTATTAAGACCCCTAAAGAAAGTGAAATATAACTTCGAACCTTTAGAGGGCAGAGGACCGTTGTTGCTTTCGCATCACCTATAGCTGATACACTGTATAAACCCTTTTAAAAACATTTTTTTTCGCCTGCCCCTCACAAAAAGGACACGCCATAAACACGAATTACCAATTATGTTGTCACATGACTAGGTGAAACTTAATTTTTAAAAGGAGCACTATTGTTGCCTGTACAGTCTCTTAAAAAATGAAAAGGCACACTTCGAGACAAGTTAGGATTGGAAGCCGCTTGAGTGACTTAGAGGCTTCCAGACTATCTTGATATTCAGTAACTTAAATAAGAGATATTTCCAATCGAGTGTTGGGAGTTGACGCGATATCTTTGGTTTCACACTTCTGTTATATATGATTGGTTTAGATAAATTCACACCTTCAACTAAGCCAATCAGATGCTCAGTGCGGCTTGGTTGCCCGTGTTTTTGAAGTCATTTCCTTTGAGATCTCATTGGCGTCTAGAAATCTTCCAAGGGCGTTTTAATCACCTGGCATTTTGGCCAGTTCGATTTTGCTACACTCAATCAAACATCACTCTTAAAATTGTCAAAGCAAACATAAAAAAGGTTATCTTTTTCAGTACCTGAATAATTTCGGAATTGATACTCCAGAAGCCCTGAGAAGAAAGCAAATTAGCCTGCATAAGTCACTACAACCAATGATTATTACAGAGCAACTTAATGCCACCCATTACAACGAATTGCCAACGGTGGCCTTTTCTCAATCTACGAAGAAGTCTGACTCTTTTCACGCGGGGATTCAGATTTCCACTGTCTCCCACGCTCATGAAAACAGGAATTGCAACTTTCGTTACACGAAGACCGAGCTAAAAGTTGACGCTCTTTGATACCCTTATCCTACACATCAGTGCATATAATCACCCTTACTTGCTTCTGATTTGAATTTATTGCAACTATCTCTTCAAGTTGATTGCAAGTTAATTTTTTGTGTAATAAATAGCTATAGAAATTATTTATTTTCAAAAGATAATCTTCTGTTTCCGGTTCATGTACCTTGTGCTTCAATCGTCAGGTTTTCGACTCTGGCCATTTGTTTCGGTTTCTTGCCACTGAAGTCACGACAGTTTATATCCGCATCTGTAAAATAACGCAGTCAAAATAACCGTCAGTTAAATATCTACACCTTTAGGTTAATTTCAATGAATGTTTCAATGCGTATACTATTACTGTAGTAGAATAAAATATCAAAAGTGTGTCAACCCACCATATTCAGAGACAAGAATTTTTATGACTTCATCGCGTCCGTGCATGGCAGCGAGATGAAGTGGAGTGTACCCCTGAGGAAGGAAGAACAATTACCACAAATTGGCTGCTGCTTTACTAGAAACTCGCTGCAAGATTTGAATTTCTCAATTTCTCGTGGCGTAACGCATTTTATTACACGACTCGGGAAGTCAGAGGGCCAATAACTAAAATCAACCAATCAAAATGCTCTATTGCCGGTCAATATTCTCTCAGTATTGGACCGGGCACTGTTCCGAATGGTCCCGAATGAAACCGCACTTGTGTCCCTTTGAACTTCAGTCGTGTAATAAATCTCTTATTAACCAAGCTTGCTCGGAACCGTACTGGAAAAATATCGGCCCTCGGTCTTTTTTGTACGGACCTCGCTGCGCTCGGTCCGTACTGTCAAGACCTCGGGCCGATATTCTCCCAGTACGGCCCTCGCGCTTGGTTAATAAGTATATGTAATGGGCGAAATCACCTAAAAGTAAAAGAAGCTATGCAAGGCTTTGTTTGTTTTGTTTGGTAGATAGAAAACACTTAGATGGACAATAATGCTAAAGAATGAAGAAGATCAAGAAAAGACCTGAAAGTCACAAAATGAAAAATTTTGATTCCAGGTTCTAAAAACTGGCATACACTAAAGCCGTTTTTTAATAATCACGATACATAAACAGTTAGAAAGGAATGACTTACCCCCTAGGAGATATGTTGAAGTAATCCATGGAGTAAATGGACAAAGAGAGAGAAACAACAACTCATCAGTACTCGTGGAATATCTCTACAATGTCTACTAATTCAAACTTCTCCACTATAAAAAGGCACAAGATAAACAGTAAATAAACTTCTCCACTATAAAAAGGCACAAGATAAACAGTAAATAAACTTCTCCACTATAAAAAGGCACAAGATAAACAGTAAATAAACAATCTATGGTTAAGAATAATTCGACTGATACTTACATTCTGTTTAAAAAACCAAGATAATAATCAGGATTATGAAAGAAAAGATCAAAAGAAAATGAGATCACAATTATCTATGTAACCATTCCGAGACAATAAACAGGATTACTAAAAGTCGTTTTTTCCAGAGTGTTTTAGTTTGACTACTCTTCCAAATAATAAAAAAAAAAAAGTAAAAAAAGATACGGTTCAAAGCTTTTTCCCTGTCAAGAAGTTGCAAACTAAACTTTTTTTCTGACAAAATGCGGACAATCCTTGCCCGGCTGAGTAAACAATCAGAACACTACAATTGTTTCATCTTGCCTGGTTGGGTAGTCAATCAGAAAAAAGGGTTGCTTCATCTTGTTTGCTTGAGGATCGCGTCATAATTTTAAATTTGATATCATTTTGATGTAAAAGACCGAAGGATTAAAAAAAAAATTTCCATACCGTTCTAACATTCACATCAATTCCAGTACTAGCTAGAAGCTTTACTATGTCGGCTCTTCCATGCTTGGCTGCCCAGTGGATTGCACTCTGTGGAGATTCAAGTCATTTCCATCAGTGTTACCCCTTACTCTTGTCCAATTGATTATTCCACACTTTTAAAGTTGCCAAAACCTTGCTATGAGAACTTACTCCTGAAAAGCTTTATTAACCCAAAGCAAAATTTGAAATTAATTAACAACTATTCACCGAAGTGGAGGTGTTTAGTGATGGATATTAACCGAGCCGTGAAGCGGAGAGGTAAATATCCACCGCTAACCACCGACACTGAGGTGAATAGTTGTTTTAGTATATACTCAAACAGTGAGATAATATACACCAACAAAAATTGATTTTAATTCATACATTCCAGCAACGATTCCAACATTTTCACGCGAGGAAGTGAACAAGTGAGGTCACGCAAGATTAATTTGCATTTGTAAACAAAACCTTTCTCATTGGTTTTTATCGATAAACTCCGGGTTAGAACCTTACACCATTACCTTTAAACACGGCCAAACCAAATTTAGTCGCTTTATTTGTGTTTTAAGGGACTGCTTCGTCGTTAATTTGAGTGATTTCTTCGCTTGTCACAAATGCAAACCAGGACGCCATTTTTTCCCGAGTTGTTCGGAGGTAAATAGCAAAGGATATTCGGAGTTTGACTAACCAATCAGAGCGCGCCTTCAACGCTATCCACTGTTTTAGTATATACTAATCTTTGTTAATCACTAAATTGCTATGATGATGAAATTAGTAATTTTTTGTGGGTTCACGTGTAAGGCTCCACTTTTAATGCTCCACACTGTACGTAAATTTGTAGGCAGTACTAGACTACGTTTTAATGTAAAAGTTATATTTTACTCAGTCCTGCTGCCCCTACGTATGCGACTTCCTCCAAAAGGAGATGGCAAACAGAAGGACTCCCAAAAAACGAAACAAGCAAACATGCTTGACTCTAATAAGTCTCATGCTTGACTCTAATAAGTCTCATGCTTGACTCTAATAAGCATGAGTATAATTATTTGCTTGATTGGTTTTTGGGGAGTCCTGTTGTTTAAGATCACATAGGGAAACGAATGGTCCACAAAATAATAAAAATATTCCAAATACCAAAAAAAAGTTGCCTGATTTTACCTTTTTTTTGCTAGACACGTACTTTTGTTACATTTAGTGTAGGAAGAATTTGAGAGACAGAATCACTTTTCACTCTCATTTAATGTGTATAATTCATAATGTATAGATGTAGCCAAGCCTAAACGCGGAGCTCCCAAGTTCCTAATATTAATGATAGCATAAAAGAACTGATGTGCATTTGCCAAGACTAGCCTGAGACACCCCTCCCTTCGTTTTCATAGTCTCCCCTACCCTACAAGTGCAATCACTTTTCACTCTCGTTTAATGTGCAAAATTCATATTAATTAAATCAGTACTTACATACTACAGTTTTCATGAACCAACATAGGAACAATGAAAATAATTTTTGACAGATGCATTTATATGAAAGAGAAAAAAAAAGGACAAAATTAATGTTAATATAAACAACACAACTGTTTTAATTCATTGCTTGCTTCATCACTTGACAACAAGAAAATTTTTGTCAATTTTGATGATTAAGACAAAAAACACCTTTCGGTAAATATTCAGTAATTTGCACATTTTAATTGATTGACATTTACTTGAATCAAGGATATTTCTATCACTTGTTTTCCAAGCATGTGCAATAAACTCTTCTTCAAAATGAGCTCCATTACACTTTAAATATCCATAACAGAGTCCCCTACAGATCCTTAAAAACTGAGCACTTTGATCAAAAACTGTAGATAAACAGCATTGTATTTCATACATAAAATTGCCAAAATACAGAAGCAATGTACTTACCCCCTTTCAACATGCAATGAAGAGAGAAAACAAAGTAGAGTTAGCAACTGACTCGATCCCACGATTAATTCTTTTTACTTTCCACCATACAATTCTTATGATGCTAGTGAATGAGAATTTAGTATAATTGAATCAATTAGCAATCCCTTTATCGATATTGTTTTTATTCTCGCCACCTCTCTGCATGATGTTGTTTTGTTACGTACAGTAAGGAGAAATTCTGTCTTGGTCACTCTTGGTGGTTGAAGGGTTGGGATAAATATCATTCAGCTTTACATTGTACATTTATAGCAAAGGTACAGAAAGTGGACAAACATCTTAAATCAATAAAAAAAAATTATTGTACAATACATTTTGAGTAATCTTTCGAGATAATTCTAATTAATAATTCGCAAATCATACTTAAACTAATAGATAATTTACATACCTGCATAAAGTCCTAAAATGGAAAAGAAGATAACATATTTTCAGAGTTTGTCATTGAAATACTCATTAAGAACTACTTCCTGGAACTTATCTGTTGTAATTTTAAAAATTAATTATATTTCAATTTTTTATGGACCAGAAAATTTTACGCCAAAAACCAGAGAAAAGTATGAAAATTGCAGATGAAAGAGATATTATTGTATAGCATTGTTGTATTGTTGTATCAGTCTTTTTGCAACCATAAAACCTTTACACATATACATAACCATATTAAAAGACTCACCCTTTTAGCTGCTAAGTTGGGATCCTGTTCCAAGAGACACATGATCTGTGCTCTGTTTCCTTTAGCTGCTGATACAAGCCATTCTTTCTCTAGTGGCTCCAGCTACAAAATATTACATCCAAACAATCACTGTCAACTAAATTTTACATATAAAAAATAAACAAGGTATAGCGGAGGAACTGTACCTGTTCAGTTATGAAAGACAGAAATTGCAACAATACTCAACCAAAACCCAACAGCACACAATGATAAAATTAATGTATCACTTTTTATGCAGAGGTGGGTGGATCAGAGGAGAAATTAAGCATTTATTTTTAATAAAACAGTTTTTTCAGGTTCCCCAATCATTTCTCTGACAACAAATATGTATTTCTTGATCCCTCTCATTGCTCAAATCCACCAACGGAGAGCCTGAAACAGGCTAGACAACAGAAGTGAGGAGAGATCATCAGAACACAACTTGTTACATAATAGATAGTAGATAACCTTACATGTGCTGTTGGTCCTCCCATTAAAAAGTCATCTCCTATTAGAGACAAAAAAAACATAATTATGCAAAAAGACTTAGGAGTGCCACCTTAACAACATCCTGCTATATGGAAATACATGTACCTCAAAACAAAAATCTTTCAATATGCACAAACAGCGTACCCTTTGAGATAACAGGAGTGACTAAAACAGACTATATATTTCCAATATCAATGTCATTTCCTGTATCAAGTAAATGTGATGCAAACAATAAATTCTTAGGGAACATTAAATTTGAAACCAGATTGTCAGTGTTTCTTAGTGTGGAGAATTAAAAAAACCTTATAACTTGACTCTGGGGAGAGAAAAGGCAATTTGAAAAATAACCAACAAAATGATTGCACAAGAATTTTTTTACAAATGTTACAAAAAGAAGAAAATTTTCTTTTTTTCTTTTGTCTGAGAAGGTAAGGGAGTGATAAAATTTAAACATATCAGCAGGCTTGAACCTTTTCTGCATGTCACTGGAGAACAGTGCCATACTGTAAGTGTAAGGAGGTGAGTTTCATTATTCCATAATGGCATTCAGTGCCAGAATTTTGAGTCCTGACACTCATACTCAATCTCCATTATATGTGGTAGCCACCAGTAAAATTAATACATGCACATGAAATTCGAAAAAAATTTAAATTTGCTGTATACTTCAAATAATTCCTTCTACTTTATCTAGACTACAACGCTGCAGAGCATGAAAAGAGTGCTCACTGAGTAGCTCTGAAACCATAAATTATAATTTAAATAAATGGCCATTCTAACAAGTGCTGTTGATTGTCACAGATAAGAAATTTGCTTTAATGCAGGGAAACTGGGTCGTTATAACTCACAGGGCCACCAACAAATTTTGTGTTTTTTTAAGTTATCGCTGACCCTAATGTCAGTATTGATAGTAATCTTTAAAATTCACAAGTAGTAAACAGTCCAAAAAAGTTGTGCTTGGCCACACCAAACAAATAATCAACTGAAGAGAGAGCCTTTGAAAGGCATTAAAAATAAAAACCCAAAAATCAATATTTACAAGTACATTTAATATCTAAATTGAAGTTTCTGTTGGGATTAGCAGCAAGAAATAAATTTATTTGGGCAAATACCCAAGAAACGGGAAATCTGAGGTTAAATCGACATTTACAAACACTTTTCAAAGGAAGATGTCTGACTTATTTAAAAAATATTTTAAAATACCCACTCACTAGTTTTGCTTCTCAAACCTCTAGCCATGTAAAGGAACCACCATAACTAACAGATTTGAAACCTTTAAATTCAACAATCCCTTAAATTGATCTCAAAACAGCGCACGTGCCTAGGGGTCCCACTGTGATTTATTGCAGGAGAAGAAGTGTTTAAATCGTTTAACAAAACCACAAAACCCTGCTTGTTGTAAACCTCAGTCCATTTGAAGCAGCAGTCATAGCAGGTGCCAAGGATACATGATAAATTATTGACACAGGAAAGAAATCAATATACCCAGTTTATGAAACTCTTCCATTAGCATAATTAGAAATTGAAAATTTTGCAATTCACTCATTTATGAAATTTGCCACATCAAAAGAAAGTACATATGACTGGATCATTAAACTTAGAAATGAAGAATACAAATCAAGATCCTTAAAATAATGTAAAATTGCAGTAATCAAAAAACAGGATCAAACATGCCATGAAATTCATTTCAAAATGAAAAATTAACAGAAAAAACCTCCACGTTTGTAGATCTAAACTTCATTATCAAGGGACAGAAAAGACTCTTAACAAGACAAATAAAACATATACACGTACATAACTGCCGTGAAAAACTGCTTGAACTTAAGTGGAAACAATATACACAACATCTTAACGAAGGAATTTTCTGATATTTAAAAAACAACTCAAAATAAATATTCACTCGCAGAAAATAAAAAAATTTAACATTTGTTTAGAGAAGGTAATAGCCTAACATAAAAACACGGATGACTCTTTTATGTATTTGAAATTTGCATGTAGTGTTATGGTGCTAATCATGAATTTACCATTTCTTTGATTAAAAATGTTAAAAATAAAGTTTAAATGTCACAAATAATCTAATGTAACAGAGCTAGTGATATTTCTCATTAAATTTCTCAAATTTGTTGATCTCAACAGGTCACCACTGGAAATGGAATCTCAACAGGTCACCACTGGAAATGGATTCTAGCCAGAGTACTTCAATCAATATCTATCGAGTTGAACTCAACTCAGGTTCCTTATTATTTTTTTGTTCATGTTCTTTTCTTTGTCTGTTGGTTGGTTAGTTTATATGCATGTCTGTTTGCTTGCTTGTTTTCATAATTTTGGTCAAGAGTGCAGCTTAAATTGAACATGTAGACTGATTGTCTGGGTGGAAGGAGTTCAGAAAGGAATATCATCAGTAGCAGAGACTGACACTTTGACAACTTGGGTGGAAGTCTTCATTAGAGTCAATTACCATAATTACTATGTTACAACTTAACATTCAAAAACAGCTACAGGAAACACGAAGACTAGACAAGTACAGTCATGTACTGTACACCTCAGGAAGTGCTTGACAGATTAACTAGGATCAACAATCTTTTTTATACATGTAGTGTAAAATAGTACTAACCTTCTATGTCATCCTCCATTCGATCCTATGAAAAAAAAAATGATTTCCTGTATCAAATTCTTCACAAAATTGTTTATTTTGATGTACTACATTTTAGTTGGTGTGGTTCACACTTAATTCTAATCCTTGGTTCAAATCATTCTAAACCATGTACAAGCCAATCTTCTTTCTTACATGTATTAATTTTATGAAGTGCTCACTGTGATAATTGTGACCAGAAACAACAACAACAAAAATAGAAAATTGCTTTTCAAAAAATTAAACCTCTTAAAAGAAATATTTGAACCACAACACAGTCAACGTACATAATCATACATGTACAAGAACAGTATTGAGTCAGACATGAACAAATTTAAGACCTTATTTTAAATCAAGATGGCTTTCAAGATATAATTGGAAGTAGAGAAAATAAGTCTGAAACACCCTCAGCTTGATCCATATAAGCAGCATTCTTAAACAAGGCTGTGCTCTAAGAAAAATTAAAGGAAGCCTAGTGCTCTGAAACTGTGAAATCCAGGGTGCCCAGTGCTCTGAAACTGTGAAATCCAGGGTGCCCAGCATATGCTTTTTTATGAAAAAAGTAAGATTCCTGAGTCACCCAAGAGCAAAAGTAAGGCACCAGGGACCACTGGGCACAGCCAGACCACAGCCCTGTTAAAGCATGACCTCTCGCAACAATTTTGGCAAGCTGTGAACAGCTCTAGCTAGTAACTATCATTCTATATCTCCTTATACCATCACCCCTAAATCACACATTCACATCATGAGAATAAGACAAATGTTCACAAACTTAAAAGCTCTAGATTGTTATACAAATTCTCTTAGTCAGTAGTTAGGAAATGTATAGAGGACAGTATGGAGAATATGCATGTTGATGTCAAGGGTGGAAACATGTGGAGTAAGATGGAAAGGTTAATAATTAATTAAAAGAAAAACCCTTTTCATTGCGTTTTTTCATTTATTTCTTTACATTAGTGGTACAATTTGTCATTAAAAAACATTATTGCGCTGAATTACTATTGTTACCATTTACTGTTGAGGAAATTATGTTGGAGATTATTTTTTAACTGATGATTTTTCATCAACAAATGGCATTGAGTTATAATAATTATAATTATTATTATATTGTGACCATAAATAAATTGTTTAGCAAAATTCTTGGAAATCCTTTACAAGTTACTCCACCTCCACAGTTTGGCTGCCCAACCAAACATCTGTCAATCACTTACTATTCAAGCCTCCTTTTATTGACCACAAGTAAAATTATACATTTATGTAAGAATACTAAATAACTCCTACACTGTATATATACAAGCACTTTGTGACCACTAAAGTCCAGATCAACAACCTGATGTACAGGTATATAGTGGTCTGATAGAAATTAGTACTCACTAGGTCATCATTGCTTCGTGACAATCTTTCTGGCTGAATATTAGAAGTGGATCCGCTGCCACCAGTTAGAAACTGACTTTGCAGCATTTTGAAAGTTGAAGCAGACATACTTCCCACTGAGCCACCCTATAAACAAGTATTAACACATTTAATTCATAATTTACAACTGTCCCAGTCTTTGAAATGAAAACACTGAAGAAAAAGTCACATTTTAATGGACAGGACAGATGCCACTCTAACAATTAATTTTTCAAACTCTGAACTCATCACTTTAAGATTGAATGTACTGTAACTTCCAAAGCCTCTGTTACCTTTTAGAACCACAAAAGCCATTAGAGCATTTTAGGATACAATTAAATGTACAAAACTTTATCAATCATACATTTCAAACTCAAATAAACATTATAGAGAACCAGTTATAAAAATGTGAATGAACTCACATTGGACTCTAGACCACTGTCTACAGATCCTGAACTAGCCAAGTGACTCATGCTATCTGTTCCCTCTCTTTTCTCCAAAGGTCTGTTTTCCTTATTTGGATGACTGAGGACTGGAGATTCATCTCCTGTTATTGACGGGGTTCTGGCATGTGATTGTTGCCCTGAGCCTACCGGCATTTCTTCCAGCTTTACTCCTCGGAAAACAGGTGGAAGAGATACAGGCCGTGCCTTATTAGATGGCCTGGGTGGTTTACGAAGCACTGCAGGAGCTTCTTTAGGCTTCTTAAGTACAAAGTACTTCTCTCCCTGTTGTATTGCAGAGAAAACAAAATTTAATGAATTATTTTACTGTAATTTAATGTAAAGCATTATCCACTTCATCAAACCACTAGGGCCGGAGAATTAATCAACACTCAATGGCCACATTACTTTACTTCAAAAATCAAACACCAGATCTCCTTTGTGGAGTTGTGACTATTGACACTCACAACAGCCCAGTGCCATTTTACTTTAAAGGCTGAAAGTTTCTAAAGAAACTGTGGTGCTGTGTTTGTGAGGGCAACAAGATAATTTCATTGGTTATATCAACTAAGTAGAAATTGTAAATTAGCTACTGTAACAAATAAAAAAGCTGACGTTTCAAGCGTTAGCCCTTTGCTCTGACAAAGGGCTAATGCTCGAAATGTCTGCTTTATTATTCATTACAGTGGCTAATTTACAATTTCATCTTAGTTGATAGAACCAAATTACCATTTTACTTTAGGCCTGGTAAGCTAATGAAGCTAGGACATAAAGGAAGGCATGTAGCAGGTTATCAAATAACAAATATCATTCCAGACATGAACACCCTCTCTACAGGGTCAAGTTTTACCTTCCAAATGCCAGTGGTATTCACATGTTCACTTACAGACCACCCAAAATTTATCCTTTAGATATATCCATTATTCAACCCTTTATTTGTTCACTATCACCTTAATACATATGTTGTAGTTTGACCAAATGGACTGCATGTAAATAAAAGTAGTTTGTTCTTTTTACTGCTTTAGATTACACATAATATTGAAATAAAACACAAATTACACTGATTTGAACTCGTTTTTACAAAAAAATCATAATAAATAGCAACATACACATGAAACAGAAGACTGGTGGGGATAATAATTTTGAAAACCTAATAGCAAAACAAACTACACGTAAGCACTGGATTTATGAAACAAGGACTGAAAGCTTTCACATTTAAATTACATTGTATCTCTATTTAATAACCATTGCCAGTTCTTAAAATGCCTCTAAAATTGATGTACAGTGTAGTCTTAAAATCTATTTTGCATAATTTAACAAAAGTGGTTTCAGCGAGTATGTGATTATCATCTATGCCAATATTGGCCTTTACATGAGGCCAGAAAATAATACTTAGCATTTATCACGAATGAAATAGTATAGAAAGCAAATTATAGCTATAAATTAGCTCCGGACCATTGTTAACAAATTGTTTATATGCGGGAATAATTTAAATGAAAGGCACTTTCTAATTGCTTAACTGGCAATGCATATTTAAGAAGAAAATTTGAAGTTAAGCTCAAACCGTTTCGAGGAATAAACAGATCGATCGAGTTTATCCATTTACAAGTAGCTCTTGCTCAAGCACGTACTCAGCTGTACATAGCCAACAACTTTGATTTCGTACTTACATCGATAGTTTGTACCGTGGCAATAGTGTGCACAATTTCCTTAAATTCACCTCGTACCTTACCTGAAAGAAGGTAAAAAATTTAGTTTTAATGAGACAGACGTAACACAAGCAAAATATTCCGTCAAATCGAAACGGAAAACAACAAAGTTGTCGACTCACTTTTGTTTGCTGGATCGTTCAGCTGTTGTCGAAAATGATGCACTAAATCTATGTTTTTCACTTTTCCATTGTTTTTGACTAAAAACTCCCGCACCGAAGCGAGAGTTATTCCTTCGTTAGTGGACATGGTTAAATTGCTTGGGGCAGAAAAGATTATTTCGCGAATGTCATTATAAATACCGATGAATCTAAATACCGATGATGTTTTCCGCCATCATAACTTTTGCATGCCGAAAGGTATACCGGGAGCTTAAGATTCTTCTAGTTGCCTCGCGCGTCTACTCGCGCGATAAATTCAACCTTCTTTCACCCTAGCGTCCCTTTCCTGAGTGAACGAGGAGGGCAAGGTTGTTCTTTCCCGAATTCCACGGATCTAAGCATCAAAGGGGGAGATCTTTTCTCGTGCTAATGCCTGTAATGGCTGTGAAGACCGATATTTAGCGGTACACTTTAGCATACGCCAGACAAGAGAATCTTTGTGGAAGAGGGCCGAGGGGCTCCGTATAACTAGTAATGACGCCTTCTTTCTGCCCTTTTTCCTTTACCAAGCAATAAATCACATATTCAAATCGCATGATCAAAGTTGAGCATCCAGACCATCATCATCTCCGTAGATTCCTTTACTACAGTCCAACTTAAGCAGATTTTTAACAGATGAGGGAAGTGTATAGCTTCGAGCACGTTGACTTTGATGTAGCAGTAAGACTGTTTTAGAATTCTGCAAACTCAAATCTTGATTTATAGGAGTTTTTTTTTTAAAAAAAAAAAAGAGAGAGAGAGAAAACACCTTCATAAGGTAATATCTTTATGTACTGCTATATGAACAACTCTGTGAACCTGTGTTCAGTTCCTTTCAGACGTATCGAGCTCAGGGAACAAACTGAATGTTGACCTCCCGAAACGCCCTCTTGGCGCCTTTTCAAGACAATTTGATTTGATTCATGCAGTTGCGACGCAGTTACTGTATCTCGCTTCATTTTTTCAGCGAATCAACCTTTCAATCTTCTTGATTACAGTTCATGCTGAGCGATATGCAAGCTGTTTCATGTAAGATCTTCTCTACCAATAAAGGGAAAATTTTATATCTTGGCGACTGTAAATACTGACTGCATTCGTTTTCAGAGGCCGGTGAACGCAATATTCAAATGCTTTATTTGACATAAATGCAAAAAAATTAAATCTCCCCGAAACGTGACCGCTGACACTAGATTTGGGATCGACGCCCAAAACAACCTACGGCTTTATCTAAGACAAAACTTGTACGTGGATTAGTTCAACTGAAAACAGATGTCTAAACAATAAAGGCTGATAGTTTCTTAAGAAACTGTTTGGGGCTGCGTCAGTGGGGGTAACGAAATAATTTGAATATATCAACAAAGTTGAAATGGTAAATTGGCCACCGTTACGATTATAAAAGCTGACGTTTCGAGCGTTAACCCTTCGTCGGAGCGAAGCCAAGCACGTTTGTTATTAAAAACCAAGCACGTTTGTTATTAAAATTAACTAGGGAGTTGTTCCTAGTGCCAAAAGGTCAGGTAATAGTTTGGGATAACCACACCGCGAATGGGATCCTTGTATTATTTCAGTGGAATGGGGCAGTAGCGTGCACAAACTACTCAGTGATATTTGGCTTGAGAATCTGGAAATTGTTCAAATTGCTTTGTCAGGCAAGTTTTCACTTTTCCCGTCCAAAAATACCAGACGTAACTAAAATGAACAGATCAAAGTCAAAGGAAAACAAATTTTGTATTCGCTCTTTTCCCCATTGATTTCCGCTCAAATTCTAACATTTCACGATTTCAGCATAGGGGCAAATACTTCCCCCGTGACCACGACTCAAGTTATCGTTTCCGATCAGGGAGTCGGAAACCATTTTGGAAAGGCACGTGTCGGAGTCGTCGATACTCTGTCGGCTGAACTCGCCCATCATCGGAATTTATCTTCGTGAATCCGTGGGTGGTTCTATTTAAAGAACGGCTAATCCGAATGCGTAAAAAAATTTTATTCACGCCATCTTGAAGGCAGGCATCAGGAAATGTTTAAAATATCATTAATTCGTAAACTGAAAGCTGGAATTCTCTGTCAATCACCGTATATGTTCATGAGTGGCGATCTTAACTGGAGGTGTAGACTTTTGGATTTTTTATGGGGTGAAGATTTGTGCTGCGAAGCGAACGAATTGTTACATCATATTCATACATGTACATGTAATGTGATCAATACAATTTTGTGCCGGATTGGATTAGTCAGCAAAAACGCTTCAGCATATCGTTTTTTCCAATAAAACGCTGCGGCAAACAGATCGAACCAAAATGAAATGGAGCACAAAAAAAGTGAATGATCATTAGATCTTTTCACTAAAAAAGATATCAGAGATCAAAGCCAGAATGGTCTGAACAAGAAAGAAAAAGAAAGGTCTCTGTGCCACCTGTGAATAAATCATCTTCCTCCATAGATTTTAATTTTTTTTCTCCTTTTTTTTTGTTACTCACGTAATTAAGCTTTTATTACTCATGCCAGAACGATGATCACACAATTATTCGTTGAATGATTCATCTCTCTCTTCATTCGACATTCTGTTTCGTAAATGATTTCCGGATAACAGTGATGTAGGGCGAGCTGTAATCACGCTTGTTCTTTGGTTGACAGCCAAGCGTACGCATGCGTGATAAGCGGCGAGAGTATGGTTTGGAGTATCCGCACAACCATTAAACGCTTCAGTTTTTTGAGCATCTGTTTTTGATATATTTATTTCTTCACTCTAAGAAGTTTTATAAGATGAAGTGTTAAGGAATATTTAGCAGTAGAAAGTAAAAAACTCAAAACCGACCAAAAAGCAAGTCAAAAAGGTAAGTCAACCGGTTATTGTAAATATAGACTAATCATGACTGTATATCAGTTTGTTTCTCTGTTCAAATATCAAAAATACAAACCGCTAAATGGCTACGCTTGCACATGGTGTATGTAGTGGTGATGGGAGATTTTCGTTTTGGGCCATTTTTAAGGCTCGTCTTTTTGCACTGCGTATCCTCAGATTTAAATCCCCACGGTAAGCCTAGTGATACCATCTACATTACACCAATTTCTCCGAGATGTAAATCCTTATAATTAATGTTGTACTAGAACTTCATTTAATATCTTATTCCACTTCCTATCAGGAAAGAAATAAAATAAAAAGATTATCACCGAACAATTTTCAGACAGAGATTTCTGTCAGGTTTTGGACAGAAGAAGAATGTATCTATTTACTAGTGACTGAATGACAAAACTTAAAGAAAGAAAAGAAAGAAAAGAAAGCAACCGACTGAAATGATTGAATTTGGGGATAAGCGGGTGGATTACTGACGACCATTCAGACAAAGTTCATGCTTTAATGTGGATTAATAAGTAAATCGTCTAAATCTGATTGGTTTGATTTTCAACTGCATTTCCTACGTTGTTTAGCAGTGAATCCAAAACAATAAAAACAACAAGCATCAGTATCTTAGTATCAAAATACAAAGGTAACTCACTCAGAAATATGGAAAATAAACTTTGAAAATACGAAGCCTGGGAGCTCCACCAAACCATTTTGTTAAAGGGATACATAACGTGACTTTCATTCTCGCCTGACAGGATTATCATGCGATTATCTATCGATAATTATACAAATTCGGGACACGTACCTATTAAAGGTGTTTTGTCAACAAGATAATTCGTTATCATAGTCAATCGGCGAGCTCTGAAAACCATATATCTCACGCAGGAATCGTTTTCAATAATTCTTTACATCTGCTTAAGGTTTTCTTCTCTCCCTTGGACAAGAACGGTAGTTATCAATAAGTAATATAACGTGACATGGAAGTCAGGTTTACATACTTGGCTTAAAAAAGACCTTTAAATCGGCTATGCATGTCACTGGAACTTTGATCTATTTTTGTAGCAGTCATTTAGATATTGATCTAAAATACGTAAATGCAAATCCTTTCGGAGGTCTATTTTTTATTATGACACGTTCTTCGACCGCACACATAATTGTTATTGTGTCTTGGGGGTCTGTAGAACATATTTAGAGTCCGGAGTCGACTGTTATGTTTTTTGATAACAGCAAATGTCAAATTTGATATAGGTCTTCAACAAACATCTCAAAATTTTTGGACCAGATCATGTGCCACGATAGTCGCTCGCAAATTAAAGATAATCGGATTTATTTACGATCGTGGCAACACAATTTCCCTTTTTTCGTATTTGAGGTCTTTTAATTCGAAAGCCTGTCAGCAAATTTAAGAGAGATATTTACAGGAACCTGGCCGGGATGTGGTTGTTTGTTGCTCGTTTCAGATTTCAAACTCGTTTTCCGAAAAGAGGCGACCCAGGTTCAAATTACTGTTGATCACGCTAAAACTATTGCACAGGGAAGGGGGTGTGATTCCATGTTTTTTTCGATCCTCGGTCCGATCCTTGTTGTAGCAAAAAACACTCAATGTAACAAAATCTCGTTTGTCTACATGATACTACCAAAGACTGAGTAAATTTACCAACGGACTGAGTAAATCCACACTAACCCAATAGAGTCAATCTCGTATTCATGTAAAATTTTTGGACCAGATCATGTCCCACGATAGTCGCTCGCAAATTAAAGATAATCGGATTTATTTACGATCGGTGGCAACACAATTTCCCTTTTTTCGTACTTGAGGTCTTTTAATTCGAAAGCCTGTCAGCAAATTTAAGAGAGATATTTACAGATATTTAGTAACGCAGTTACCCAAGATTTTGCGTACTACATTCATTTTTTGAAAGTTTATCGCCCAAGGATGTATTCGGAATCGATCGGTCTAAAATTGCAAAAGATTTCCTGATGAAGCCTTAGACATACTATTTCCAGTCATTGGTGTGGTTTCGGAAATTTTTCCAATTTGTATAAAGAAGGTTCATCAGCTTTTGCACGTTTAGGATCGGAAATCGTTGTAATTTATCAAACACCGGACACTACGACCGAAGAATTCACAGAATTCTTGGTTTAAGTCTCAAACATATCGCTGAACCCGTGGGTATAGGAAGACTGAAACCCAAGAATTTCCGAAATCAGCTTTAGTGTGATATTTTAGAAACGTTTTCATGGAAATTACGATCAGACTTCTCTATTTTTTCCGTTTTCCGACCACGAGTTCCAATCAAAGAGGAAAGTTGCGAATGTAATCTGCTTTCTCAAATGAACTGTACATGACTAAATATGTCAACAAATAAACACACTACCCCCGACTTTATAGTCACCCAAAAAGCACTCTTTGCCTCTCAAGTGATGGCCATCTGATAAGATCCTTTAAATGCTCCGAATAGCTGACAGATTCCGAGAGGTTGTAACTCGTTACTCTTCAGCAATTTTTACAAGGATATTTCGAAATTAGCGTCAATTAACTGTAATTGACTTGGGCTGCACCGAGTCTTAACCGCATTTACCGCTTACGGAAATTTCACAAGGGCAAAATTGTTGAAATAACGTTGCACCTTGTTTTCCATATATCGACTACGGTAAAACGTCACGCTTGAGAAAGTAGTGTTCAAAAACACAGACAGACGTAACTATAGAGATATGCCATCAGATCAGCCTAGAAATATGGAAATTTCAAATGTTACCAACTCGATCATGACTCATCGAATTCAATGCGGTCAGAAAGTTATAACAGCTCCAATCTGCCTCACTTGCGGATTAGCTTCACTCGGGAATAGACTTTTTCTGGTACGTGGTTAAGAAAAGGTCGCGCGGGTGTGTGACACCCTACGTGGAGGAAAGCGGCAGTATGAGGTGAGTTTGTTATCAGTTTGTTATATTTTTTTTCTCCTCGTTAGGAAGTATACATTCAACCAATATGTCAGGCTAGGTTGTTTAGATAGACAAGCCGTTGCACAAACAGTCTTGTCAGTTACAAAACCGCTCCTACTTCCTGCAATGCATGAGGTCTGCAAAGTGGGCGCAGAAATGAAAAATAATCTCCTTTCGTGATATTCTAGAATGCGATGAAATTCTAACCCTATTGTCGTCATTATCTTCACGTCCTGAATATCTGGAGCAGTCACCGCCGTATTTCTTACATAAAGGTGGATGCTCTGTTGATACAGCAGTGCAGGTTAATTAGGATTTAGCAAGTTAAAATTACTCCCGTTGAGTTGTGTTGTATTGCGCGTGACGAAACTGTTGGCAGCTGTTTTAAGAGGATTTATCACGCGGTTGAAAAGGAAAATAGTTGTGTAATCGAAATCACAATATTCCTAACTCTTGCTTCGCCTATTTGCTTACTCAAGGCGAGTTCAAGCCTATTCGGAGGAAAGGAATAACGCTCCACGAAAGTCTCTGAGAATGAAGAAACAAGTGAAAGAAGAGAGAATAGCTGCAGTCAAGAAACGTAGTTCGACGTACTTGAAAAAATTCACCGTTGCAGTTTTCGGGGAAGCCAGGACAGGAAAATCATCCTTGATTCGGACCTTCCTTGGGGAGACATTTCAAAACGACTATGAACCGACCATAGAAGACTTTTACTCCAAGCAGATTGTCTACAACGACAAAAATTACCAAGTGGATATCATAGACACTTGTGGCTCGGAGAATTTCCCAGCCATGCGGAAAGTGGACATTAACAAGGCAGACGCCATTTTGCTTGTGTACTCTCTGGACAATCCGCGCTCTTTTGAGCGGCTTCGCGAGCTAAGAGAGGAAGTGTTTCAAGAACGAGGCAATACTTTGCCAGTTATGGTTGTAGCTAACAAATCAGACGTCGTCATAGATGGACATGCTTTAGATATGAAAATGAATGATGGATCTTTAGTGAACACTAAATGCGTCGCTGAGAAGGAATGGAACGTATTGTGGACGATAACTTCAGCCAAAATGGCGTGGGGTATCGAGGACATGGTGCATGGACTTATTGATGCATTCTACGCCCGAAGAGTGCAAACATTGCCAACTAAGGGTAGCTCATGGCTTAGAAGAAGTCCTATACTTAACAGTTTGCGTAGGAAATCTAAGTAAAAAATTTACATGACTACCTCACTTAGTTCCTACCAGTAGGCTTTCAACGACTGCCCGAAATGAATTTAAGTCGCTAAAATGTCTGTTTTCCTTGCGTCAAGCGTCGGTGATGTTGCATGATATTAGTGTTTTTAGCTTCACGCTTTACTGCATTTGTAGACGAAAAGAATTTTTAAGCTATTTGTTGTTTATCCAAATGCTTTCAAGACATCCCATTGTCCACAGTTTATAGTTTCAAACGATCCTGTTTCGTTTGAAAATCTACTCGCTCTCCTCTAGAATGTCATAATCCTAATCAAGGCAGTTTTCAGAAGCATATTTCAAATAACAAGCTAAGTATTCTCTTAGTGCGTTAATCAATTAACAATATTGAATCATTAATTTCCCAGAAGTTTCTATTACCAGAAATTCATGCAAAGATGTGACTGAATGTAATAGAATTTGAACGACAGTTGTTTATATGAATTACAGAGAAATTAAAGATAAGCTTTTTATATACTGATGGACATTGTCTTCATGGTATGTTATTTTAGTTTTTGTTTTGTTAATCTGATATCTGAGGTCGTATGCTCTTTCCGCGCGCGAGAACATACTTTGCCCGACTGGTTTGTCTAATTTGGCCAATAGCCAATCTAACACTTTGACTCTTACGATTTAGGGGCCGACCATTTAACTTTTGGGGTGGGGGGGGGGATGGGTTATTTTGACTAAAATTTCCTGCAAGCGCATGTTGGAAGAAAAAAATTGCATGCAGCCCAAATGTAACAAAAAAAAAAGAGCATTTAGGACGGAAAAATATCTTGCCCAGCAGATTGCTACAAAAAAAATTTCTTGATGACCAGAAATCACCCACCACCCCCCGTCAAAAGTTAAATAGTCGGTCCCTTACTGGCATCTTATTTCTCATGACGACATCACCTCTGTGCACAGGTCGCCCAAGCTCTGTCACAGGCTCTTTCACAATGAAAAATTAAAGAGTTTGTATAGTGGTTTAGTTGGACTTACTTTTGAGCTCCGTAAATGTAAATTTGTGTGAAATAATCAAAGAAATAAAGTCTTACCTTCGTAGTGAGTAGTCTGTGTTTTTCTCCTTGCGATTTGAGGCCGTTTTGATGTGTTTCAGCTTGACGCCCTAAATTACTGTGCATAAAATACGGGAAGGTCGGAAACTTCTGTTGACACATGCTCGCCAAAATCGCTCGAAAACAACACTTAAATACTTTCCCTCGAATCAAAATTCGGCAGCACGAAAGCTAAATAGTTTCCTTTTAAGTTCACCGAAAAAAATCCCACAAAACTCGGTTTGTCGAGCAACCAATCCAGCGAGAATTTCAAATTAACGGCCGTTCGGAATTCTTCTAATGCGTGGAAGGAACTTCTTGTGCAGCTGAGAGACTGTTAATGCGCGGTCAACCTGGAACCTAGTCAAATCTCTCTCAACGGGTCCTCCCCATAGTCTTCTAATACCAACTCTTCACGCATACTGAGGTACCC